TATATTTTTTAATTTTATTTTAATTTTAAAAAGATTTAAATAGTAAAAATTAAAAAATTTTAAATTTAAATTTTTTTTATAAATTTTATTTTTAAAAATAATTTTTAAATTTTTTTAACGAAAATTTAAATTTACCGCTTATAAATAGTAAAAAAAAATAAAAACACACGCCGTGAGAATCGATCAGCTTTGAGAAGAAGCGCATCGAGGACGGCTTGATTGTCCAACAAAACCATTTCGCCTCCGAAAAATCCTGAAGCTGAGACGTTGACGATGTCTGATATATCAGTCTCGTCCCACACACCCTCTCTTAGAACCGACTCGATTTGTTCAATGCACTCCCAGACCCATTTGGAAATTTTGGATCTCGACATTTCGAAGCACCTTCCTGGCGACGAACTCGAAGACTGGGACAAGTTTCTCCGGCACTGATCAACCGCCACGTCGCTCTGGAGCTCTATCCATCTCGGGGCTTGGTGGGGCCCATCAAAGCCCAACTGTATAAAAAAAATAAAAAAGAATTTGGATGTCTGACCGTCTGGTGGTTAGCGGTCAACAAATTGTTTGTTATGTTACCTCAAATTAGACGAAACTTGGACAAAGTGACGATATTGGTACATTTTTTTAATAGTAGGAGGATGATTTGTGTAGTTAATTAATAATAATTTTTTTAATTTATATTTTAAGAGTATATTAAATATATATTTGTTATATATTTACATTAAAAAAATAAAAATTAACTTTTAATTTATCAATTATTTAATTAAAATATACATGCAATATTAATGATAAAAATAAAATCAATATTTTTCAATATTTAAATATAAAAATATAATTAATACATATTTAACTTGTATTTATACATATCAGATAAATTCTTTAATAAAAAAACTATTGTAAATAAACTTAATCGATAATTTCAAGAAATTTTTTTAAAATAAATAAATATGAGTTGGAAAGAAATCAACAAAAAAAATTCAAAATTAGTTATTGTACTTTTCATTAATTATTTATACATATGAATAATCATGTAATTTCAACTCTCTTTGTTTTTTTTTTTTCATGCACCCTTCGTATGGTACAAAGCGTTTCCGCGTAATTTTTAAAATATTTTATCTAAAATCTAAAATAGGGGAAAAACCCAAATTGGAGAACTTGAGAAATTTCTTTTAAAAAAATAAAAAATAAAAAGTAAAGAAAAAGGAATCTCGACGCGTACTATTACTGGGAAACCGATTCTGCCAATTTTTTCGATTTTTTTGACGTGTTCAGGCGATAACTTCTTCGTTGGTTTTCTCTCCTTCACCGGTCAAACCTTTGAGTGTCCGAGACGTCTTCGCAGCTCCAACCGGCTTTCTGAAAAGATTACGAGGGTATGTTTGGATTACCTTGTAATAATTTTAGTTTTTTTATATTATTTATATTTTATAAATTTAAATTTTTTAAAAAAATTTATATTTTTTAATTTTATTTTAATTTTAAAAAGATTTAAATAGTAAAAATTAAAAAATTTTAAATTT